AGACAAATTGCTTTGTAAAAGCATAAGCCATTGATGGAAAAATATCTTTTGAATTGTAATGAGATATAGAAAAGAATTTGAATTGCAACAAATTATTGCAAAGAAAAAGAATGCCATTAATTGCAAGAAGACATTGCAGGCAAAATAAGATGTTTTTTTATTGCTGTAACCAATTACTGGCAGGGAAATGATGCTTTTCAGTTGCAAAACATTTACAAAGAAAAGATGTCTTAAATTGCAACAAGCCAATGATGAAAAAAATGTAAAGTTACACTAATTTGTAACTGAAAAAAAGAAACATTTTTTATGGCAAAACAAAGATGTCCTTTAAATTTCAATATCATTGCTGGCACAAATATACTTTGTGAATTGCAACATGCCATTATTGACAAGAAAAATCATATTTCCATTGTTACAAGTCATTTTTGCCAAGAAAATTTTTTAAATTGCAATAAGCTTAAATGTCTAGAAATTCTACAAGCCATTATCTACAAAAATTGTCTTGGATTGCAACACCCTAGTGGTAGCAAAAATAAAAAAAAGGTTGCAAAGAATATGTCTGTGGTTTCAACAATGTCTCACTGGCCAAAAATCTCAATGAATTTTAAGAAAATATCTTATAATCTGCAAGATTATAAGTGAAAAATTATCATTTTAGGGAAACTACTGATAGCAAAATGTTGACTTTTGAATTAATAGGGAAAATTTCTCAATGAATTAGGATTACAAATAATTTATGAAAATCTTCAAAGCTGTTGCTGAAAAATAGGCTTTTGAATTGTAAAATGTCATTGTTGGTAAAGATCACTTTTTAAATTGTAGAAAAATATGTCTTATGAAAATCAAAACTAAAACTGAAAAATAAACTGAAAAATTTCAAAGACACTAATAAACCTATTGCTGGTTGATTCCTTTTGAATAATTACAAATCCATTTCTGGAAAAGATCATCCAATATTTGCAAAACTGAAAGCAAACCTGTTAAGTTATCATAAATGCATAAAAAATAGAGCTTTGACAACTGTAGTTTTGTTTTTAACAACACTGTTATTGTTAAGTCTGTTTTAATTGCTATCAGAAAATTTTAAAAGTATGACAGTTTTGAGCCATTGTTATGCTTAACACTAAAAATATGGCTTTAACAAAATTACATGGCTGAGTCATTGGTAACTAAACTGGTTACTCTGCCACATGTTCCTGGTGAGTAGGGTGGTTAGACACTCAGTAGGATTAAAAACAAGGCATGTCAAACTGAATGAACCTTATAAAGTTGATGGCCATCTGGCACAATTGGGTAGACTGGGCTCTGTAGCTATGCATGTAGCCAGTGCTGTGATGACACTGCAATTCTGGGCAGAAGGCTTCCTAGTTTGAAGTCAACGACCAGGGTAAATGACCAAATCCTCTCCCTCACCCTGGAAAGAATTGATAGGCCTGTGTCCATGGCCAATGTGATCCTGTAAGTTAGAGGACATTGACCATAGAGAGGGATGGGTTTTGCTGGGTCTACTTGCCCAAGACAGTGCACATGAATGAACATATCTCTGGCTTTCAACCCAGATATATGGAGGTAAACTGGTCAGCTGTTCAACTGTACAGCAACCCTATGACCACACCCACTCATGGGACTGAAGATGATGGCATTTAAAAATTTAAAATTTTTAAAGAGGAAGAAAATTTAGATTTACTGGCAAAATGCATGATTCCTCAAAATCTTTACTTTAGGCAATTTCTGACAATTTATTTTACTCCAGTGACAGTGGAGACTTCTGGGGTTATTGGCTTTTGTTCGATGGCGTTCCTTCAGAGGGTTGGCAGGATTGTCTTGATTAAGGGATGCACCTTGCAAAACGCAGTGGCTCTTACAGTGTGTCTCACTGGCGGTGGTGCGAAGTAATGCTTTCTCCATCATTGCAGCTAGCAGAGGAGAGCAAAAAAAAGAAAAACATTTTGTTTTTTTTTTGTGTTATGTAGGAATAAAGTGTCACTGCAACACGAGTTTGAACTCAGATCACCAATGAGCAAAGACAGGCAATCCCATTTTGAATAATTAGATCATGTGATGGTAAAGGAAATGTATATATGGGAATTAGCATGGCATCTTGGTGATCACTGTATGGATTACTATTTGGATCACTATTCAGTGGTTACTATTCAAGCGAGTATTATCGAGCAAGTACTATTAGTGTGAGTGTTATTCGAAGGCGTCTGACACCAGTATTGTTCAACAGCATTACTATAGTCGTATCTACAACGAGCATTACAAAAGTGACAACAAGAGTGTTCGTTGACATTACAAAAGTCACAATGAGTGTTCGTTGACATCACAAAATTTTGTTTGTTTAAAATAAATGTTTTGTTATTTTAAAAAAAAATATGACAATTATAATCTTGGATATTATTTACGCAAGTTTTATCTGAATTTTTGCTTTAAACCAGTTCTTGAATGTGTGAAACCTTACAGAATCTTTACCCACAATTGTGCTCCAAAACATAGTTTTGTAAAGAAGTTTTTCTGAAATAATTTGGAGTAAATGAAACAATTGTCTCATCACAGTGTCTTTGACACAGATATTTTATGCCATAATCAGTTAACATTACAAGATCTGCTTATGAAAAGCAGTATTTGATATATTGAGAAAATTACTCTTTGATGAACTGAGTAAAAATAGGCTTGGTTTTTTTTTATATGAAATGATAAAAACAAGAAAAAAGTGTCAGACCTGTTTCATAAAACATTAAACAACAGATTTTTTTACCAACTGATGGTATGACAGTTTTAAGATCATACCATTGCTCACAAAGTCTCCATGATACCATTGAGTCTCAAGATCATTTCCTTTACTATTAAAATACTCAAAGTATTCTTCTATAGCATTAAGATTTTAATTATCATTACCATACTTCTGGATTTTTAAATGCTCAGAATATTTCATCATACCATTACGGCTTGATGAAACTTATTGCATAAGTTTCATCATACTATTGTCCAAAAAGCCAGAGTATTCTGCTATGCCATTGAAAGATTATGATCATTTCCACCATACTATTGGTGTACAAATGTTTACAATTATTCTGCTATACCATTGGGAGTTACACAATAATTTCTGCCATTCCATAGTCTAAATACACAAAGTATTTGCCATCGCATTAAAAGTCTTATTTCCACCATACCATTGGGTTTCAAATGGTCAAAAAGCATTCTGATATACCATTGAACCTCAAGATCATCTCAAACATGCTGTTAGTGTTAAAATGTTCACATGGTATTCTGCCATGCTTTTGAGTCTTATTGCTTTCATACCATTAGCTTCCAAATGCATTCAAATCATATCATACCATTGATGGCTAAATGCTCAAAGTGCATTCTGCTATATGATTGAGAGTCTTAACATTATTATCACTGTCATTGGTGATGAAATTTTCACAAAAAATTCTGTCCTACCAATTATTCAATAGAATCCAAATATAAAACATTTTGCCATATGATTTTGTTTTAAAGTACATTAACCAATGTTCTCAGTCTTTATATTATTGATAATGTTTTATTTTTAAATAAGTTCTGGCATATCCATTTTATTAAATATGGTAATAGATTAGAGAAAGCTAAAGTATGCCATTAATGGATTATGGCTTCAAAAATGACATTACTGTTAGATATGTTCTTATATTAGCTTGCATATGTTTATATTTGTTATATTGTTAATAATAGTAAATATCAGTAATGTCATAATGTAAATCCAATGGCTTGCTGGTCACAATTGCCTATTATTCACGATGGTGTGGTAATTCTAAACTTGTCTGAAACAATGAACTTCTTCATCTATGTGCTGTGTTTCTTCAGGACATGGGTGATTATGACACAGCATATTGTCTTTTTGTCATCTCTCTGAAACCTTGTTCTGCCATCCATCCATGTTATACGTTGTTTTAATCTGTAACAATACTTCTATATGCTGTGTCTCTTCTGCCATCCATTTACTTGGTATGCATTGTTTTCATCTTTAACAATTCTTCTTCTATATGCCATCTCCTTTCAGGACTTTGTGGATCATGGCTCTCCACCATTTCCTATCCATTGTAATTCTTAGTAAATATTGTCTTTTTGTTATCTCTCTGAAACCTTGTTTTGCCATCCATTTAAACTAACTCGTTAGGTAGATTGTGCATTCATCTGTCCCTCTTGCTTTCAATATGTCCTGAGAGTGTCAGATTTTCTAAGCCCTCTTTCCTCATGTCCTAGAAATTTCTACTATCTCTTTCTGATGTTAAGTATAAGTGTCTTTTTTGTTTCCATTTTCTCTAAAACTTTGTTGTTGCTCACATGTTCAGTCCATGGTATTCTCAGCATCCTTCTGTAGAACTATATTTTTATCCTCAAATTTATTCATCTGTGCAATGATGGTCAAGAACTCACTGCCATATAATAGGACTGATATTACATAACAGTTCAGCAGTCCTTTCTTTGTTGTTATTGAAATTTTCTTGTTTATTAGTACTTTGTTTAGCTTTTGGAAGACATCTTTTCCTATCCCAGTATGCCTTCAGATTTCAATGTTGCACTTTTTATCTTCTTTTTAAACACTTGTCAAATGTTTAAATTGTTGTACTTTTATTTTGCATCTCCAATTTGTAATTTGCATATTGGTCTTTTTTTGCTAACAACCATGCATATTATCTGCTTGCAAGTGATAAGTCCTTTCTTGTTGCTTTCATTCATTAACTTCTATAGGTTTTCTTATAGTTTCCTTTCTATGTCTGCTATCAACATTTTCTCATCTACATGTCTTATGTTTATAAGATTGTGGCTGGTAGGATTTCTGGTAGGATTTCTAATTTTCTCAGAATCATCTCGCTGTATAGGTTGAATAAGTCCAGTGAGAAGACCCATCCTTGTCTTACTCCACATTTTTCATAATGTATAAAACATAAGTATCTATTATATTTTGTGATTCGCCCCAATAAGCTTTCTCTATTCTTTGACAGCTTATGAACATGTCACATTGAAACACTAGTTTCTGTATGATCACCGAAGTTAAGCAATGTTGAACCTGGTCAGTACCTAGATGGTTGACCTCTTGGGAATACCAGGTGCTGTAAGCCTGGATGTGCAGGTGGTGTAATGGATAATACTTCAGAATAGTTAATCTCAGAACTGTGTTCCAATTCCCATTGTGTTCGTTATATTCAACGTGCAAATAACTTCAGGAAAAGGTATAAATGCACCTAGCTGTGGACTTTTATTACTAAGAAACCATTATTATCTCAAAAAAAAATTCATACATTCTAAAAAAGTTTTCTGGCTTTAAATAACCTGCAAAGAGTTGATAAGCAATAAAAGACAAATCAATCAATCAATCAAAAACATTCTTGCAATGTTTTGTCTCTTTCCTGCTTATCTCATCCATTACACCAACTGCACATCCAGGCTTACGGCACCTGGTATTCCCAAGCAGTCAACTACTGACCAGGTTCAACATTGCTTATCTCGTTATGGTTCATTGGTATTTGATAAAACCATCGCAGTACCATTGGTACAAATGTTCTTAAAACAAACTTCCTTATGTAGTGTGGGTCCCCCACCCCACCCCCCTCGCCACGTAAAAAAAAAAAAAAGATCATCCTAGAATATACTATTTACACGGTGTGACAGAGAAGACAGGTACATGGTTGACTTGACGGATGACCTCCCAGGGACTGAATGTAGTTTCAAGTGACGGACCAGCTGCACTTGGGTTTGCAAACAGTGGAACAATCTTCATGACAGAGACAGATGTATAAATACCTATCTCAGTGGTAAGAGGCAGTCTCTCTGATTTGAGAATGTAAGGTCCATGTTCTTTCAGGGCTGCGCACACATACACACACACACACACACACACACACTGACCAAGAGTAATTGACAAAGTCATGAAAAAGGACGTGACCAGTTTCCCAAGATTTGATTGATTTGCTTGTTCAGTAACATGTCAACTCTTAGGTCATTTAATGCCAAAATTTAATTTTCTTGGAGCTTTGAAGTAATAAAAATACAATATACTTTACTCTGCTTTCACAACTGAATACATGGTAGATGATACTCATCTTTTGTACATATACATGTTTGTGTGGACATAATTACTAGAAGCAGTGATATGTGTGTCTTATGTTGTAGTTTTATTGAAATTATATTTTGGAATACAGTTCAATTTCTTTAAGAAATTGTTAGATATTATATGGACTAATGACATAAAAGAGTTCTTTCATATTGGTTGTTTGATTTTGTTTAATGGCATATGAACACCTCTATGGGTTATTTAATGCCAAAATCTAAATATTTTGTATGTAATTTTATTCTTTCATCTATGGATATTTTGTACATAATTCTATACTTTCAGAGTAAAGGCATGATTTTTAGATATATATTTTGTAGATCATAAAATGTTTGTAATTCTACTATAAAAATGTATTGTTGATGTTTGTTTTAACTACTTGCTGGGACCATAACAGGTGCTACCACCCTGGATCAGGGTGGGCCTGGGAACAACAGCAACTAAGAGTTGGTTCCACACTCCTCAAGACCTCCACTCTCTCAATCTGAGGCTGTGTTACTGAATGTAGTTTATCATACCGTTTCCCAAGAATGTCTGGAAAGTAATGTTAAAAAATATAAAAGTGTGGATGAATTGCATGTTTTTTGTTTGTTTTTTTTTTTTACTAAATATTATACAAATTATAGATGCTTCTTAAATGTCAGGGAATGATCTTTCTCACTTTTTTTTTTTTTTTTTAGTCATGCAAAAATTGTTTTCACATTCAAAGCAACATTGTTTTTTTCCTTCCAACTTAAACTTAGTTTATTATTTGAAACCTTTATTTGACATGACATTTTAACTGTTTCTTGTTATGTGTGTCTATAAATAGCTTTTGTTCCTTTCTAATTGGCTTAAAATGCTGGTTAATTTTCTTTTTGTTTTTATTGTGTCTCTTGAAGACTGGCATATTTTATGATTGGAGAGATAATTGTAAACTGGGAGTTGCCAGCTATTAAGCATTTGCTTCTATAGACATTTTACTTGTTTTTATCTTTAAAATTGTTTGAAAACACATTTTAGTTTGTCTTTTTGTTAAGCTTTCATCTCTTTCTCGGGAATCTTGTTCATCTGCCTCTCCCTTGTCCCTCTGTCTCTCTCTCTTTCTCTTTCTCTTGTCTCTCTCTCTCTCTCTCTCTCTCTCTCATTCTCATGAAGCCTGTCTTTACAAGTTATTCAGCTGTTCGTTAAACATGTATATATAGGCTTGCTCTAATGCACAAACATGTTACATTATGCTTAATGGAAGAGAATGTTGACAAATAGGATTTTTACTCAAAAAGAACTTGGGAAGCAAGATAAATGAGACATAGAAATCAACATAGTTGTGAAGAAATAAACATTGTCAGTTTAAGGATCAACTTTTTATCTGGTAGGAAATTTAATTTGTTACAATGGAAAGATTTTGTTATTGCATCAATTGGGTTTCACTTAGTATTTTCTATAATTAACATATATAATATAGAAACTTCAAAGACAACATTCAGCAATCATATAATTTAGATCTTTGCATCTGCGAATGCATACATTTTTTTATACAACTTGACACTCCTTTTTTCAATTTTTTTTTTTTTACATTGTCATTTATCACATGAAAACAATGTCTTGTAACAGACAATACTGTAGTATTTAATTAAATTTGAGTTTAAAAGATATTGTTAACAGTAAAGTTTAATAAAACTCCTTAATTCAGTCATAAACACATTAGTAATCCCAGTTGTTCAGATTTCAAAACCATCGGAGGAAAAATGAAGATGGATTTAAAAACTTAATTCATAGAAAATGAATGAATCAATCACTCTACCCAGATTTAATCAACTTCTTTTTGATGTCATCAAGTCATAATATTATGGCCGTATTAAACCATTAACTTTGAAAGACAGAAAGTTCCATCATTATAGTTTCAGACCATAAATGGTAATGACAAATTTCTGCCACAGTTAATGAGTTAATCAAATTAGATTAAAATGTACAGAATCTATCATGGCCACAAAATGGGAGATCAGCTTATGAAGGAAATGTAATACAAAACTTATCCCCCACTTTATATCCACATCATACTTTATCAAATACTGATTGCTTACAAAAGCATGTTTTTCAGATTTAATTTCATTCTCTCTGGACAATAGAAATGTACAGAATCTACCGTGGCCACAAAATGGGAGATCAAGTTATAAATAGAATGTAATACAAAATTAATTCTCACTTTATATTTACATCATACATATTTTTATCAAATACTGATTTCCTACAAAAGCATGTTTTTAAGATTTAGTTTCATTCTCTTTTGATTATAGATATCTGGAGAATCTAATTTTGACTAAATTGGGGGATCACTTTATGTATATTTTTAATACAAAATTGATCCCCCACTTCATATCCACATCACACTTGTTTGTTAATCAAGTATTGATTACCTAAACAAGCTTATTTTTTCAGATATACACTTATTCTTATGTGGATTATAGATATCAACAAAATGGAGTGAGGTCAGTTTACAAATTGACTTTAAGATAGAATACTTTATATCCATGCCATATTTTGTTGATCAAATACTGGTTATTTACACTGGGATATATTTATTTTTCTTTAATATATACATACATATATATATATATATATATATATATATATATATATATATATATATATACATTTTTTCTAACAAGATTTCTCAAATATTCAGGCCAGTAGATGTAAGTAAATAAAAAAACAAAAAAAAACAGAGCATCTACTCATGAGAATCCATTTAAAAATAGTGTTTAAACAAATAAATTTATATATATATATATATATATATTTAGATTTACTTTCATTCTCTGGTTTATAGAAATGTGGAGAATTTATTGTGGTCACAAAATGAAGAATGAGTTAATGAATTGATTGTACTATTTTCACGGAATTAAACTTCTCAAGTCTACTAAATTATTCTTTCTAATATAGGTGGAAGTTTCCTCCTAAACCTTTTGTTTTTGATCACCTAGCAAGGCAACAGCTTGATTCTACCCTTGTTTTTTTCCATCTGCTACCCCATTTTTTGTTGTTGCTGTTGGGAGTGTTTTTGTTTGCAATTCATGGTGTGAAAAATGTCTTTTTTTCTTTCCTCAATTTATTATCAAAAGACAAACAATTGTGACGATTTGGTCCAGTGCATCAAGCCCAGAAAGCAAAGTGGAAATTCTGAAACCTGTTTGTTTGTTTTTTTTGTTTTTTTTTTTACCAGAACAAGAAAAAAAAAATGATAAATTGATTGTAATATAGAATTGATTCCCCACTTCATATCAACGCAGCATTTTCTTGTTTCTTAATCAAATATCGATTACCTACAAAAGCATATTTTTTTTCAGGTTTACTTTCATTCTTTCTTAACGGCAGAAATATGCAGAAACTACAAATTCAAGGATTAGTATATGAATTGATTGTAATATAAAATTGATCCTTTGCTTTATGTCCACGCCACACTTTCTAGTTTGTTGATCAAATATTGATTATCCATATAAGCAGGTTTTTCAGGCTTACTTTCATTCTCTCTGGACTATAAAAAGTTAGAGAATGTAATGTGGCCATAAAGTCGGGGATCAGTTTATTAATTGACTGCAATAGTCCGAATGTAAATAATTGATACATTCACTTATGTGGTAATACCTTTGTGAAAGGTATGAATCCATCTCTTCTCTTAGCTATAGGTAAATACCAGCACAGACTGAGTTCTATGGCCATGCTTGGTAACTGGTCTGGGGGAAGGAAACACTTTGTATTCAGACTAGGAGAAGGATAACTATGAATTTGGATGTAGAGTCCTGTTCACTTTTGTTCATGTGATGATGCTGATGTCGAGCTGTATTGACCTCTAGCTTTTCCTCGGACAGTGTTGGTGGCATGGCAAAGGGAGACATGCTGCATGGACAACTGCTGGTCATTCATCAAAAAACACAAAGCAAAAAGAAACAACCTGCCCTGGCCTACACCTTGGAAAGGGCATAACTCTTTGTGCGCAGATCCATGGTCTGTTAAGATTGACGGATACCATA